ATGTATATAGTGAATGGCTTTTTTTTTAAATCGGCAGTAATATTAACATTGCACTTGTGTGGTTGTTTTTCCTGTTGTAGGTAGAGTTGGCTTTGTGGGACACAGCTGGACAAGAAGATTATGATCGCCTGAGGCCTCTCTCCTATCCAGACACTGATGTTATACTGATGTGTTTCTCCATTGACAGCCCTGATAGTTTAGGTGAGTAGCTCTGCAGGCTTGTTGCTTGGCTGCCTATTTAGATGGGAAAGATCTGTTTTTTGGGTCCTTTTGGGTATCAAGAGGTAGCAAATCAGATACTCTGACATTCTTTCAGAAAATGAATTTTGCCAGGTGGTGTGGTGCATACCTTTAATCCCAGCACGTGGGAAGCAAAGGCAGGCGGATCTCTGTGAGTTTGAAGTCGGCCTGGTCTACAGAGGGAGTTCCAGTACAGTTAGGGCTGTTAAACAGAGAAACCTGTCTTGAAAAACAAAACAAAAACCTCAAAGCTCACCTCCTCCATAGTGATACACTACTTCAAGGCCACACCTCCTAGTAATGCCACTCCTATGGGCCAAACATTCAAACTCATTCCTATTCAAATCACCACAGGAACCAACAGCTAGGTAGAAAGAGAACATGACCTTTCTACCAGCAGTGCAGGCATGGCCTGTGGTCAGCTTTTTTCTGTGGGGCAGAATCCAAAGGTCTTATTTGGGTTTCCACTCCCAAGAAGCTCAGCAACGCCTTTTCACTCTTTTTAGTTTTTTGAGACAGGGTTTCTGTGTAGCTCTGTAGATCAAGTTGGCTTCAAACACAGAGATCCTCTGCCACCTGAGTGCTGATATTAAAGATACGCACTGCCACCTCCCAGCTGATTGTGCCTTTGGGGGGGTATTTCAAGATAGGGTTTCTCTGTATTGCTTTGGAGGCTGTACTGGAATTTGCTCTTGTAGACCAGGCTGATCTCGAGTGCTGGGATTAACGGCATGTGCCACCAACACCTGGCTTGATTTTGTCTTTTTCTATGATTTTAAGATTAATGGATTTTTAATTTTCATTATATAGTGTCCCAAATGTCCCGTTGTCCATCCGTCCCCCCAAATGTTTTTTTTAGTAGTGTGTGTGTGTGTGTGTGTGTGTGTATTTCAGGGTCAGAAGACAATAAGCAGGAAACAGTTCTCTTCTACCACTTGGGCCCCTTTACCTGATAAGTGATCTTGCCAGCCCCCAATGTGCTTTTGAAACAACAGTGGAAAAGGAAATGACCTTACAATTTAACTAGGGTTCTTAAGAGTTCTTCAGAATGGAATTAGAGTTTATTCTCAAATACTGTACTTTTTTTTCCCCTTCAGAAAACATCCCAGAAAAATGGACTCCAGAAGTCAAGCATTTCTGTCCCAATGTGCCCATTATCCTGGTTGGGAACAAGAAGGATCTTCGGAATGATGAGCACACAAGACGGGAGTTAGCCAAAATGAAGCAGGTATGGTGTGGGGGTGGGAGGAGCTGGAGTTTTGGGTTTTTTGTTTGTTTCTTTCTTGGTTTTTGGAGACAGGGTTTCTCTGTATTATTTTGAAGGCTGTCCTGGAACTTGCTCTGTAGACCAGGTTGGCCTCAAACTCACAGAGATCGGCCTGCCCTTGCCTCCCAAGTGCTGAGATTAAAGCTGTGTGCCACCAACTCCCTGCCTGTTTGTTTGTTTTTTAAATCAAGACTCACTGTGTAGCTTTGACCAGCCTGGAATTCACAGAGATCTGTTCACCCCCTACTTCCTGAGTGCTAGGATCTTAAGGTGTGTGCCACTATACCTGACTTTCCTCTGGTAGTCACCCAGAAGAAACTCTCACAAACCATGCTATTATAGATCATACAAGTCCTCTTCAGGTTCAGCCTTCATTGGCCTGACCAAGAGGATTCCCTGAGGCTCCTTATTCCCTGAGATGTGATGTCTCTTAAGAGTTAGATGTGTTCCTAAGGAGTGCCATCTGAGGAAGGGACCATCTCAGCAGAAGTTATTGCTTCAGATACACACAGCTCCTTTCCCTCTGCTGTGGCCAAAGGAACTAAAGCTAGTTATTATTAGTCCATGCAGAAGGTTCAAATTCCATTGTAAGAACTCTTGACCTTCAGGAGCCAGGTGCTCTAATGTCAGAGCTTCTCTGGTCAAGGAGTCTTAATAACTTTAACCCAAAGAAACCCAAGTTTCCACAGTGTCAAGGCCAGACTCTAGCCATTGGCAGGTATTCAGTCTCTAAAGCTAGATAGAGTCAATAAGTGCTCTTGTTATTATCTAACTTGTTCTCTTGTACTGTACTCAATAAATATTCTTGGACAGGGAGTACAGTTCAGTGGCTTGCCTAGCACCAGTGTATTACAAAAAAAGGTTATGTCTTGCTCTGAATTTCTTACTCAATCTCCTAGTTTTTCTGACCTCTCTCTGCCTACAGTAAAAGAGCAGGTTTTAATAGACATTAGTTTCAGGGTATGCATGTAAGTTTTGAGAATTTTATGAAACAAGCTAAAGTTGGGCAGTGATCGTGCACGCCTTTAATTCCCACACTTGGGATCTCTGTGAGTTTGAGGCCAACCTAGTGTACAGAGCTAGTTCCAGGATAGCAGGCTACACAAAGAAACTGTATCTCAAAAAAACAGAATAAATAAATTGTTCAAGCTGGGTTGATTTAAGTCTTTTCAGCCAAGAGTGGTGCCATGTACCTATAGTCCCCACTATTTAGGTGGTTGAGGCAGGAGAATTACCAAAACAATTAGAAAAACAGTCTTAAATGCTCTGTATCTCTGTAAGTAAGACTAAGCTGAAGCTCTCTTCTCTCTCTACTAGGAGCCGGTAAAACCTGAAGAAGGCAGAGATATGGCAAACAGGATTGGCGCTTTTGGGTACATGGAGTGTTCAGCAAAGACCAAAGATGGAGTGAGAGAGGTTTTTGAAATGGCCACGAGAGCTGCTCTGCAAGCCAGACGTGGGAAGAAAAAATCTGGGTGCCTCATTTTGTGAAGCCTTGTGCAAGCACAGCCCTCATGCGGTTAATTTTGAAGTGCTGTTTATTAATCTTAGTGTATGATTACTGGCCTTTTCATTTATCTATAATTTACCTAAGATTACAAATCAGAAGTCATCTTGCTACCAGTATTTAGAAGCCAACCATGATTATTAATGATGTCCAACCTGTCTGACCAGCCAGGGTCTTTCTGACACTGCTCTGACAGCTCTCTGCACTCCACCTGACACCAGGCGCTAAGTCAAAGAACTTCTTAACTTCTTGCTTCTTTCTAGAAAGAGAAACAGTGGGTAACTTTTGTGAATTAGGCTGTAACTACTTTATAACTAACATGTCCTGCCTCTCATCTGTCAGCTGCAGAACTCTGGTGAGTCACTATTTCAGAGCTTTGCTCCTTAACAAATTACATTGGCAGAGCTCTGGGGAAGGCATCCAGGGTTTTGAAAACTTGCTCAGCCAGAAAGGCCCAAGTCCACGCAGCTGTGGCAGAGTTACAGTTCTGTGGTCTCATGTTAGTTACCTTATAGTTACTGTGTAATTAGTGCCACTTAATGTATGTTACCAAAAATAAATATATCTACCCCAGACTAGATGTAGTATTTTTTGTATAATTGGATTTCCTAATACTGATATTTGTTATTCCCGCAGAAAGTGTATTGGTTTTTTTTTTCTTTTTAAGAAAGTGTATTTGGAAATAAAGTCAGATGGAAAATTCATTTTTAAAATTCCCATTTTGTCACTTTTTCTGATAAAATATGGCCATATTTCCCCTATTCAGCCCTATATATCATCCCAGTACCCCTTTCCAGACTGGACTAAGTAAGTAGGAATTTGGTCTCCCGCCTGAGGCAGTTACACCTTGGAGGTGGCATAGCCTTTCTCACCTGGACTGCAGGGTCTGGCTCTAAGTCACAGTGCTCCTTTATCCACTCTGTATCCAAGTTGCCTCCCAGAGGAGCCACCAGTTCTTAAGGGTGGCAAGGGAGGTTTTCTCTTCTCTCCAGCTGACTAAACTTTTTTTCTGTACCAGTTAATTTTTCCAACTAATAGAATAAAGGCAGTTTTCTAAACTTCCTGTATCCTGGTGTGTGTTTTGCTTTCAACTGGGCTAGGGGCAGGAGATGGGAAGACGCGGCTTGCTTGGTTCCAGTTCCTTCCACTCCTGAGCTTATCTAGACTATCGTGGCTCCTCCCGACCATGAAATGACTATCCTGTATACATTCAAATCTAAAAAGGGGTGGGGGAGCTGGATTTCCGCGGGGAGGGGAGCTAAAAATAGGACCATGGATGGTAGAGTGCTCTTGTCCTGAGAACGGCTGCCTTCTAATCTTCGGCCCTCCATGCCTCTGTTGTCCGCCCTCCACCTTACCCTCACTAAAACTGCCACAGGAACTCACTCTGACAGCCATCTCTCAGTACTATTAAAAGCTACACAGCGGGGCCGTGATGGTGCACACTTTTGATCCCAGCACTTGGGAGGCAGAGGCTGGTGGATCTCTGAATTCGAGACCAGCCTGGTCTTCAAAGCCAGTTCCAGGACAGGCTCCAAAGCTACATAGGGAAACCCTGTCTTGAAAAACCAAAACAACACCAGAAAAAAAAAACACAGAAAACCCCACACAACATTATGACTGGGAGGGGAAAGTTGCACAATATGAGGGAGCTGTGCGGGAGCTGCTTCAGCGGTTGTAGACAGCGGCCAGCTTCCTAGGCGGGACCCTAGACTAATTAAGAAACCGTCGAGGAGTCAGCCAGCTTGAGGAGCCCGGCTCCTGGCAAGGTGGTTGCCTCCAAACTAGTACTACATCGCCTGGGCTAGACCAGACGCGCCCAACGCTCCCTAGGCACTTAGGCACTTCAACCCGCCGCACCCTCTGTTCTGTCCCTAGCTGGGGGAGGGTAGAGGCCGGATAAGGCGGGACCCTGGGACTTAGAGCGGGCTTTGGGGCCGGAAAAAAGCGGATAACACGTGACCCCACCGCCTACCAGTTAAAGGGAGGTGCTGGGCTCTGATTGTACTAGTGTGTGTGGATTCTGTTTCGAGTTCACCAGCTTCGGCACTATGTGTGCAGCTAGGCTCTCCGCGGCGGTGCAGTCCACCGTGTATGCCTTCTCCGCGCGCCCGCTCGCGGGCGGGGAGCCTGTGAACCTGGGCTCCCTGCGGGGCAAGGTGCTGCTCATTGAGAATGTGGCGTCCCTCTGAGGCACAACGACTCGGGACTACACCGAGATGAACGATCTGCAGAGACGCCTCGGGCCCCGTGGCTTGGTGGTGCTCGGTTTCCCGTGCAATCAGTTCGGACATCAGGTGTGCTGGGCAGGGTGGGGCGGAAGGGGTCCCGGGCTCCCAGAGGCGGGATACCCGCTCACTTTCCCTCTGGTGCTGGTAGCAGTTGGAATTCAGGCCTGTCCTGGGGTTGTGCAAGGAGGGCAACTTCCTGGTGACTCATGGGAAACTCCGGGTTTGCTGTTAGAAGGTTTGTGTTTTCTGAAATCCTAGACCATAAATGCCTTTGTCTCTAGGAGAATGCCAAGAACGAAGAGATTCTGAATTCCCTCAAGTATATTCGACCCGGTGGGGGGTTCGAACCCAACTTTACATTGTTCGAAAAGTGCGAGGTCAATGGTGAGAAGGCTCACCCGCTCTTTACCTTCCTGCGGGAGTCCTTGCCAGCGCCCAGTGACGACCCGACTGCGCTCATGACCGACCCCAAGTACATCATTTGGTCTCCGGTGTGCCGCAACGACATTGCCTGGAACTTTGAGAAGTTCTTGGTGGGCCCCGACGGTGTTCCAGTGCGCAGGTACAGCCGCCGCTTTCGCACCATCGACATCGAACCTGACATAGAAGCCCTGCTGGCCCAGCAGCCTAGCAGCTCCTAAGGCATTCCTGGCATCCGGGCTTGGTGATCACTGGCTGCACTCCGGGGGAAGTTCTTCCATGATGGCGTTTTCTCTAAATTTGCATGGAGAAACACCTGATTTCCAGGGAATTCCCTCAGATGGGCGCTGGTCTTGTCCATCCCCGCTGCCTAAACAAAGGTGATTTTCACCACTAATAAAATGCTGAATGTCAAAAGACTGTTTATGTGTCCTGTGTCAATGTCACCTTTTTGATAACCTCATTGTCAGGGACAAGGAACTTAGTCACGAAGTCTAAACTTCCCTTGTGAATGCATTTTGTCCTTTCCTTTCTCTCTCTACCAGGACATGCTTCAGGGTGGTCTCAGGTCCGTTACAGCAGTCCTCACTCCACAAAGAGGAAGGCAGTAGGCGAGGGCCAACCGCCCTAACCCCAAGAGTCAGCTCCTTTCTGAGTTTTGCTGGGTTTGGAAATGATCATGGGCCCCTGGTTACATTAGGACTCTAGAACGGCCTTGGGGATTTAACTCAGTGTCTAGATCCTTGCCCAAGTGTTAAGACCCACATAAGTCTTTTTTGCACAGCTGCAACTGCCTTCTTTACTGTTACCAGCTTCTCCTTTACTGTATCTTTCCATACTGCTACCCCTTACTTTTAAGTTCTGCTGGGTGTTGATGGAGTCAGATGGAAAGGTGCATGCCAGTGGGGAGGAAGATTTAAGACAAGCCCAGACTATTTGAGGGGAGGATTTTTTTTGACAAAATATGTGGGGTTTACACTTTTGTGTGGAGATGTAGTACCTAGCACTGGGGTGCAACTGCACATTTAGGCTTAGAGTAGAACATATCTTAAAGCCCAGCTGGTGCTCTGGGCTCGCCCCTTCATTATCTCCAGGCACACCTGGAGCTGTTTCTTATCCCAGGTTCCTGGGGACTCTGCAGTAACCAGGTTCAGCGTTTGGGAACATGAACCCAGAGACTTGTGGGTGATGTGAAGCAGTCTATAGCGTGGGTCCAGGGTTATTGCCATCCTGGCATGTGTGCCTAACTGGCGGCTTTCAAGGCTTTCCTACAACTGAACCAACTAAAACACATCTCCCCTGATTCTAAACAAATGTGTGCATGCATTTAGGTAGGGATTAACCTGTGGCCTCACACATACTACAAAAAGTTCTTGCCACTGAGCCGTATTCCCAGCCTTCTTAAAACTATGTAGCCAAAAACAAACAAAAATAAGACTATGTAGCCCAAGGTGACCCCCAACTCCCAGCAATTCTGACTGTCTCCTGAGTGCTAAGATTATGACTGCCACCATGCCTGGCTAGCCTGTAATAACATTCTCCTAACATTCACAAAGTGCTAGGATTACAGGTGAAAGCCACTGCACCCCATGCTGCTGCTTGCTTTTGTCTCTTTAGTAGACCAGGTCTGTCCTTGAACTCCTGACGGACCTGCCTGTCTGTTTCCTAAATACTGGGATTATGGGCATGTACCATCATGCCTGGATTTCCCGGGATACACACAAATATATACATATACTTTTTTTGGAAATAGTTTCATTATATATCCCTGGCTGGCATAGAACTCATTATATAGATTCACAGATCTGCCTGCTCCTGCTTCCTGAATTCTGGGATTAAAGGAGACTTTCCAAGAGAATTTTTAAACATGTACTAATGTTTTAAATGTGTTTTTAACGTGTTCCACAGCCCTCCAAAGCTACTTGACTGGAAAGTCTGCTCTTCTTAGTGACCTCCCATACCCTTGACTCTCTCTTTACCCTTACGAGACCAGTGTGCTGGAATACCCTCTCCTTCTCTCTCATTGTGGATGGGTGCCCAGGACCTTCTAGACTGCAACCTCTTCCCTCAGGCTGGGTAGTGACTCACCCTCCCTCACCCACTGTTTTCCCTCTTAGTCAAAGCCTTGGGCTGCCAGGACAGGGAGGTTCTAACCTCCTAACATGACTGATCCTGGGTGGGAGCATTCTTCCTCAGACACCAGGCAGCAGTCACAGACAAAGAAAATCCTTCCCAACCCTGTCTTCTTCAGAAACACTCAGAATAATGCCCACTACCACTTCAGTATTTTTCCAAGCAGTCCAATAGCTCCCCTCAACACACACACACACACACACACACACACACACACACACATTCCACCCTGTAACTGCCTCTAGCCTTGCTCTGTGCCCACCAGCCCTCCTGATTCAGCAGATCAAACGAGCATAGCACTGAGCTCTTGGAGGACCCTGACCTCTGGCCCACATGGCTGCAGGGCACTGTTTGCTCTGGGAACTTGCTGCAGCATGAGGTCATAGACCTTCTGAGAAGCCAATGGGCCCTGTGGTTACTTAACTAGGTTCAAAACTTCCATTTCAACAATTCTAGCAAAACTGCTGTTTTTGTTTGTCTGTTAGAATCACAAATCTGATCAAATAAGGCCAGATACTTCTGGCGCAATTAATCTTTGATCAAGTGACTTCCTTCTATCCCAATGTAGTTCCCCAAACAACAATTTTTTTAATTTTTTAATTTTTGTAAAAATGAGGTTTCCGCTTTCTGTTGGTTCTGAGTACATGCCCCACTTCCTTAAAACTACCATAAATGGTATAGAAGAAAACGCTAAAAAAGAAGAGGGCAGCCGCCACCCTCTGATGTAGGTTCTGAACTGTCAGCAACAACTTTCTTTTTCTATAAATAACAAGATTAATGGTAATGTTTTGCAATTCATAACATTTCAAGGTCTTTCCTTCTGTGGTACTGGAGATGGAACTCAGGACTTTGCACACTAGGCGAGGGCTGGGTCACTCAGCTGCATCCCAGGCTCTTTTTCTTCTCTTTGGTTTTGTTCTTTGAGACAGGGTCTCCTTCTGTAGCACAGGCAACCTGGAACCTTCTATATAGCTCAGGATGGATTTGAACTCCTGACAATCCTCTTGCCTAGCCTCACAAATAACTGGTATTGTGGGCATTCGCTTACCATATTCAGATTCATTTTACTTGTGTATGTGTATGGTAGTGAGGATTGAATCCAGGACTTTTGGCCTGTTTGGCACTGGACGACTGAACGGAATCTTCAGCTGCTTTTGAGACAGGATCTTATTAAATTGCTCAGGCCAGTCTTGAAGTCACTCTGTAGTTAAGTTTGGCCTTGAACTTTTGATCCTTTCCTTGTAGCTTCCTGAATATTGGGTATGGGTATCACAGTCCCAGTTGAAACATTCTCAAAGCACTTTATTCTTATTTTTAAAAGGATTTACTTTTCCCAGCACTCGGGAGGCAGAGGCAGGTGGATCTCTGTAAGTTCGAGACCAGCCTGGACTACCAAAGCGAGTTCCAGGACAGCCTCCAAATCCACAGAGAAACCCTGCTGTCTCGAAAAACCAAAAAAAAAAAAAAAAAAAGGATTTACTTTTATGTTTAAGAGTGAGATTTATTTTAATTCATGTGGATGAGTTTTTGGCTTTTTGTTTGTTTGTTTCGAGACAAGGTTTCTCTGTGTGGCTTTAAAGCCTATCCTGGAACTAGCTCTTGTAGACCAGGCTGGGATTACAGGTATGCCTCACTGTCGCCTGGCTGTGGATAAGTGTTTTTTGCCTGAATGCATAAGCATGTCTATGGAGGTCAGAAAATGGTTTTGGATCCCCTGGAACTGTAGTTATGGACAATTTGTTATAATTTATCTAAAAACAGTGAGAAGGGCTGGGCAGTGGTGGCACATAGGAGGTTTATTGGAAGAGGAGAGAGAAGGGGCAGAAATTGGGACAGAGAAAGGGGTGGAGGGGCAGAGACCAGTCCCTAGGGACAAGAGAGAGAGAGAGAGAGGAAGAGAAGGGGGAGAGAGAGGGAGATGAAGAGAGAGGGAGAAGAGGGAGAGAGATGGGAGGCGGGCAAGGCTCATTTGTGTGTGTGTGTGTGGTGTGTGTGTGTGTGGTGTGTGTGTATGTGTGTATATGTGTGTGTATGTGTGTATATGTGTGTGTATGTGTGTGTGTGTGGTTTGTGTGTGTGTGTGTGTGTGTGTGTTTTCGAGACAGGGTTTCTCTGTGGCTTTGGAGGCTGTCCTGGAACTAGCTCTTGTAGACCAGGCTGGTCTCAAACTCAGATCCACCAGTCTCTGCCTCCTGAGTGCTGGAATTAAAGGTGTGCACTACCAATGCCCAGCAAGGCCCACCTTTTAAGGGAACCTAATAACAAATGTGCACAGGTGGTGCTCTTAGTGGCTGCAGCTGAAGATGTGTCCTGTCAGGACCCCCAGGGCAGGCCAGCAGAGATGCTTAAATACTAACACAATTATTAGCCTTCATATGGGTAGTGAGAATCAAACCCAGGTCCTCCTATAAAACAGGTGCTCTTAATTGCTGAGCTACCCCTCCAACCTCTCCCCTTCAAAGAACTTTTATAGGAGCAACTACCAGGTTTGGTCTCCCAAATGCAGTACAGAATTATCACATAGTGGACTGTCCATTTAGACTTTTATTTTATTGAGACAGGATCCCCTGTAACCCAAACTGGCCTCCAGCTTGCTGTGTACCTTTAACTCCTGATCCTCTGTCTCTACTTCAATAGTGGGATTACAGGCTACATTGTCTATTTTTTCTTTCCTTTTTTTTTTTTTTTTTTTTTTTTTTTTTGGTTTTTCAAGACAGGGTTTCTCTGTATTGTTTTGGAGGCTGTCTTGGAACTCGCTCTGTACACCAGGCTGGCCTCGAACTCACAGAGATCTGCCTGCCTCTGCCTCCCAAGTGCTGGGATCAAAGGCGTGCGCCACCAACGCCCGGCTTTTTCTTTCCTTTTTTGTTGCATTTTATTTATGAATTACAAGTGTGAATATCAGGGGTCAGGAATCAGCTCTCTCCTTCCACCATACGGGTTTCAGGGGTGAAGCTCAGGCTATCAGGCTCGATAAAGCACCTTTACTTAGGAAGCTTCTCCTTGCCTGTCCCCTTTACATTTACATTTGTTAATTTTATGTGCGTTTGTATGTGTAGGTCAGAGAACAACTCTCTGAAGTCAGTTGGGAGTCAGCCTTCTCCTTATGCTATGAATCCCCAAGAAGGAACACAAGTCACCAAACTTGGAAGCAGAGACGAGCCACCGTCTTTCAAGCCCTTGGCTTCCTCTTCCCTGTTTCCCTTTTCAAGGTCTTACTATGCAGCCACACTCATCTGGAATTTGAGATGCTGCAGCCTCAACTTCCCTAGGTGGGATGATAGGCT